GAAAGCACATAGAAAAAACAATTCAAGGCTAAATTCTGTTGCCGTTCAATATGGTCCCAACGCTGAGGTCACTGAAATCAGCAGGAGTCTGACCATTAACTTCAGTAGAAGAACCAGGCCCTACCTTTGAATGCGAATACGTGGCTGTTATGCTTTGTAAGTGGCATTTCAATCTCCCTAGATTTAAAGACCTGCTAACAAAGTCTCGTTTACTGATGCAACACAAGTTCTCATCAGAGACGTGTAATAGACAAATGCTGCTGATCTGCCACCACTAGACAGCGCTTTAACGACCTAGGAAATTACGTTCCAAACATTCCAGAAACATCAGGGGCCTAAATGGCATTAGTGCAATTTGCATTAGTGCAACCCCACCAGGGTTCCCTCTAAGCTGTGGGGCAGCCCAGCTTCACAGTGATCACCCGGCCCCGCCCAATCAGTCAGCCCCCTGCACAGAGCCCTGAGCCTCTGACTGGGCACGGCTGATTGGTCACCTGTGAAGCTGGGCTCCCCCCAGCTTAGAGGGAACCCTGCACCCCACTGCAGCCTAAGGGTATGTCTACACTACCCTCCTAGTTCGAACTAGGAGGGTAATGTAGGCATACCGCACATACTAGCTCGTGGAATGAGGAGTAACGGTAGTTCGAACTAGGAAGCCTAGGGTTCGAACCAGCGGGGTTTTAAAAATGGCGGCGCCCCGCTTATGCAAATGAAGCCCGGGAAATTCAAATCCTGGGCTTCATTTGCAAGTGCGGCATGCCTACATTACCCCGCTAGTTCGAACTAGGAGGGTAGTGTAGACATACCCTCACAGAATAATGGGCTTAAGTGGCAGCAAGGGAGGTTTAGGTTGGACATTAGGAAAAACTTCCTGCCTGTCAGGGTGGTGAGACACTGGAATAAATTGCCTGGGGAGGTTGTGGAGTCTCCATCACTGGAGACATTTAAGAGCAGGTTAGACAGACACCTGTCAGAGTAGATCTAGACGGTGCTGGGTGCGGCCAAGAGGGCAGGGGACTGGCCTTGATGATCTCTTGAGTTCTGGGATTCTATGATAATCCCACTGAAATCAACAGTGTCCAAGCAGCTAAAATCCACAATCAGTGGAATCCGGCTCGTAGCCTATGCAGCTTCTTAGAGTTCTAATGAAGATTTCTTATCTAGGTGCCCAGATCCCACAGTGATGGACGCAGTGGAGCCTTGATCCAGTAACACCCTGGAGCACGTGCTTAACTTCATGCATCTTGGTAGTCTCATGCATCCGAGCGACGATTCATGGGACCAAGTGCTTTAATGGATCAGGGCCTTTGAAAACCTGAATCAACTGGAAAAGGAATCGCTGCTTCTCAGCTGCTGTGCAAAGCCTGCCCTGACACACAGGAAACAGGATCCCCGCTTAACTTCCCACTTTCTACCCCAAACAAACCTCTTTTCTGTAGTTCCCTGGAGATATTTTTAAGGTTCCCTATCCTAAGAGTTGGAGTCTGGGAGAGAGAAGTAACGCTCATTTCACTGACAGTCCCCATCTCCCCTGCCTTCTTTCATTTATTTCAGACATGACCTTTTGATTTCTCGGCTAGAGTGTAAATTACATGTCGCCAGCATAAAATATTAAACCCAATTTATATTTAATTATTGATGTTATTATGTATTCCATAGTAATGGCAGAAGGAAAAAAATCCACCCCACCATTAAATAGCTTTGTTGCATTAGCAGCTTCTTGAGGTTAGGCATCTTCCTCTGTTTCTTCTGCACTATATGATTGATGGTTATGGGGAAGTTTGTAAATAGTCTTCCAGAAATATTTCATCTGATTATTGTCCCTATAAAAGAGATCGGGGAGGGTTTTAAACCGCTACTAATTATTTGTTCAGATGAAGAGCAAAGAGCTAGAAAAGCTACTTGCTTAGCATGCCCCTGCCCTGCCCTTTGGAGGCTGGTTACTTTGATAACCCTCTAGACAAAGATGGGGTTATGGAAACCATCCTGGGTTTTATTTAAAACAAAAGACAGCGGAGAACCACAGTGGTTTTTCTAGCTGCGATTTCACCAATACGTTAAACTTCATTTGACGTTGTTTTTGCTAAAATATTAATCAAGCTCATTCCTACTTGATTAGAGCTAATTTTCTCCCCATATATAAATAATGCAAACGATCTGAGGTGCGCGGGGCCTCATTGCTTTGGGGGCGTGGTTAGAGCTGCCTTTCACCTCAGAATGCTCCCGTCTCCAGCCCGGCTCGTCAGAGTGAGGAGTGCCGGGCGACACTTCACACAACAGGACTGCAGCCTGAGAGATACCAAGTCAGAGCTCCCCTGGGGCCAGATCCCAATGCCACGACGATGCAGGGCTGCTGCGGGCAGCCCCCAGTCTTGGAAGGGAGCGTGCGTCTGGCCCCAGGAGTGCTGTGCAGACGCAGTTTGACTAAAGGGGGACCATCGTGAGCTGCTGTAAAGCACCAGCAAAGGGTCCTGCGTTTCCCAGCCCAGCGGCACAGTCTTGAAAGGGCAACTACTGGAATGTGCCTGCCAGCAGGGCCTCGCACACTCGGGGCGTGCAAGGTCCTGCCCTGCGGGGTACACTATTTGCACTAATCAATGGCATCCTCCATGCAGCACATGTGCGAGATCAGATCTTGAGAACAAAATGGCCCCCTTCATGAGTAGGGTTGTCAGATGGTTTAACAAAAAATACCGAACACACACACACACACACACACACACACACACACACACACACACACCAAAAAAAAAAACCATTGGGAAAAAATTCTGTTGAGCGAAAAAAAAAAAAAAGGCGCCATGCCTTTAAATGGCTCCGCGCTCCTCACTCCCCCACCCCCACCAGACGCGGCAGTGGAAAATTGTCCCCACTGGGCGTCCGTCCAAGAGAAACAGGAAATACCAGACATGTCACGTGTCCAGTATTTTCTGGGTTTTTTTACCGCACAGGGACCCGAATAACAGACAGTCCGGGAGAAAACCGGACACCTGGCCACCCGACCCATGAGGCCTTTCCACCATTCCGCCACGGCCCCTGCGTCCCGGCAGTGGAAAATTGTCCCCACTGGGCGTCCGTCCAAGAGAAACAGGAAATACCAGACATGTCACGTGTCCAGTATTTTCTGGGTTTTTTTACCGCACAGGGACCCGAATAACAGACAGTCCGGGAGAAAACCGGACACCTGGCCACCCGACCCATGAGGCCTTTCCACCATTCCGCCACGGCCCCTGCGTCCCGGCCACAGCTACAGACGCACCCACCGTCTCCCCCTCTCCCCTCCAGGGTCCTTCCCACCACCAATCCCCCGCCTGCCCTGCACTGCGGTTCACCCCGGGGGGTCCCCTAGTGTCCTGGGCCGCAGAGAAGGGGACTGGATGGGGGGCCCTCCCCGGAGCATGCAGGACACCGCTAGGCAATCGTTTGTGGGGCCACTTTGCGAATTGCAGAAGGGACGCGGGCTGCCGGGCCTCGGGCGGAGCCAGAATCCTTGGAGAGTTCACCTGCCCACAAACCCTTACTGGCCTGGGGCAGGGGCGGTGCGAAGTCTCCTCCCCCTGCCAGGGGCGTGCGGTTCCCTCTGGTGCCACGTGCCCCTGGTGGGGGGAGGAGACTTTGCGCCCTCCCCCATCCCCAGGTGTCAACTGGCCTGCGGGTGGGGCAGTGGCAGGGCAGCCATGGGCCCCTTCGCCCACCCCTGCGGGCAGAGAGGCCTGGGGCAGCTTGAGAAGCTCCACTTGTGTCACTTGGCGAGGCGCCCCCGACGCCCAGGGCCAGGCCCGGCCGAGAGCTGGAGCCACGCGTCAGTGTGCCGGTGGGGCGCACCGTTGTGCTTCCACAGGGTGACAGCAGGCGAGAAGCAGTGAGAGGCGGGGGAGAAGCAGCTTCCCAGCCCTGCCAAGAGCCTCAGAGAGGAGATGAGAACAAACCATCCATCCACCAGCACTGGGGGGCTCGGTCCAGCTTCCCACCCCTCCAGCTGTGCGCGTCCATCCCCCCCGCCACTGGGAACCAACCTCCCTGATATCCAGCCAGCGTCCTTCTGCTCCTGCATGCCACCCCCGCCCTCCTCCTTGGCACTGGCAGGTCGTCACTTCCCCGCGAATGCCCCTGGGTATCCCCAGGCCTCCCAGGACACGCGCCTCCACGTTCCATGCCCGGCTGGCAGGGGGAAGGTTTCCCTCTCCCCAGGTCAGAATGGGGGGAGGTGCAGCACTAGATTCTGACCCTTCCCATGGGTAGACATTCCCAAGGCATCGCTAGGCCTAGTCAGAGAATAAAATGACTAGAGTTGGGCCTGACATGAGAAGGTCACATCTGGGTTTGCATCAAAGTTCGGATGGGGGGGGAGTAGATCTTAGAGTCAAGCTGGAGCCCATGTATAAAATACAACAAGATGTACCCAGCCTTGCTCAGGTCCTAAATACATTTTGTTTTTCTTCATTTAAATCATTGTTCTGGGGTGGGACGGGGCTGGGGAGGGGGGTTCAGTTTGCAGGCTGCCCTGGGGAGAGAGGACAACCCCAGAGAGCTCCCCACAGTGGCTTGGGGCCAGGTGAGAAGTCCCTGCCCATGGCCACTGCAGCTGCAGCTGACACAGCCAGGGGAGGGTGGCAACAGAGAGACAAACAGACGCACTCTGTGAAATATCTAGTAGATAGCTGTCCCTTTCTCCACCCCTGCCCCCTGCTCACTCAATGAGGTTACAGCTGTCCTGGTCCCCATCTCTGGCCCCTCGCTGCCTCCTGTGGTCATTCTACAGTATAACTTTCCCTTCTACCAGCCCCCTCCCTTTTCATTTTATGAGAAACAATCAAATTCCAGGCACGTCCCATTGTCCTGGCACAGTCAAACCCTTATCTTGCTTTAGGCTTTGATAAAAGGAAGCTGCATTACCAATTTGATGATTCTCACTCTTATCATTTAGGAGGAGTTCTTGAACAAACGGACTCCCAGGCGGACAGACAGACTCTGATTTCTAAAATATACGGTAAAGTTACCTACTAACGTTTTCAGCTAACCCTGCTGTGAAGATCAGATGGCAGGCCGTTCGGTTTCACTGCTCGGGCTACGACGGAGTCATTTCTCTGCTGCCTTATAGCTGTGCTGTGTTGTGTCCCTGCCAGCACTTGGCTGTCTTGATCCAGGAGGGGGCTGCCAGGAGAGCTCCCCAGCAGGGTCTGACAATACCGGCAGTCACTGTCCTCGGCGGGAGCAAGCAACGTACTCAGCAATTTGCAGCGTGACAGGACGCTCGCTCCTAGCTCCCCGCCTGTGTGACGGATCCCACAGCTCTCCCCTCGGGCTAGCGGCTTGACTTGCTCTTCCAGGGCTGAGCTGCAGGGAAGAAAAGAAGAAGCTGAAAGATGGTGCAAATTAGCACTGGATATTGGCTGATGAAGCCGTCAGCCCCTCTCTGTCTGATAAAGGGGTTATTACAACCCCCTGGGGCTGGAAGTCCAGAGGCCTCCTACCACAGGAGAGTAATAATGAGGAACACATTTGATTCTGCTCACTTGAAATCAAAAGACCTACATTACATTTGGGATGAAACGTAACGTCTATGCTTTTTCTCCAGGCGTCCAAAATCAAAATATCCCGAGACAGAGTGTTCTATTTAGCAGGCTAAGGGCTCCACCCTTGACACACTCAAATCAAGGAGTGTACGGCCACGCACTCCAGGGAGACATGTGCCACTGGTCAGGTTGCTACTGCAATATTCTAAAAGGTCACAACACTGCTGCCTCCCAAAGAGAAATACCCCTGTGATGGGGTGAATCACAGTAATCCCCTTGGGATTGTTCCCCAGTGTGCTGATCATGTCTCTGACACCCACCTTCCTGCTCTCTGGGGCTCCCCACCCTCCTGTCCTGCTGAGCCAGATCCTCTGGTCTCACCCAGACAAGGCACAGAACTGGAGTAACCGCCCCCTTGCAGATCAATGCAGACACCGAACCACGTCAGCTCTGGTGGACACAGTTCTAGGGCTTAGCACCCAGGAAACCAACCGTCAAAAGGGATCCAAACCCCAAATAAATCCATCCTTCTCTGGGTAAAAGTTTTACACAAGGAAAGCTCACGAGGACATTTGCCCTCTCTCAATGAAAGAGAGAGATGCGCACTGATTGTTCCCCCAGATGGTAACAGTGATTTACACTGGGCCTGATAGTAAACAAAAGGGTTTTTATTAAGTACAATCAATAGGATTTAAGAGGTTGCAAGTGAAAACAGACAGCTCAAAGTCAGTTACTAAATGAAAGTGAAAAGGAAATGCAGAGCTAGTTCTAACTCACTAAGACAGATTCTTACCCTAAAGAGCTGTTCTTATTTCAGGCGCAATCTTTAAGTCAGAGGCAAACTCTTTCACCTTGATTGGGTCTCCCGCCCTCTTTGTATCCTTATAGGATGTGTCAGGTTGTTTCTCAGGCCAGCTGAAGACCAAGGGCAATAGCTTCCCATGGCTTAAATAGACTCCCCACAGGGCAGGAATCTTTTGTTTTACATCCCCCCTCGGTGGAAAACTACCAGGTTCAAAAATGGATCCCCGTACCAAGTGGCATGGTCACATGTCCCTCCAGACTGACCACCTTCCGGACGTACAGGGCAAACACGGCTGTTTACAAGTCCTTGTGTGTATCATGTGTATCACCCACTCATCAGGCTTTAGCACATCTAAAACTATAAGCAGACACAAACTCCAGACGTCCAACTTCACATATGAGAAGGATTCGTGCACCAAAGTAGGACCTACAGATCCAGCAGATTGTAACATTCACATTCATAGGTCACATGAGGCATCTGGTCCAAAGCATCGCTGACCACTACCACAGAAGTACTCCCTGTCTGGCCCTGAGGCTGTCACATGGGCTGGGGCTGTGGGCTGATTGGGCCACACTCTTCTAAACAAGACTGTTATGTCACTAATGATAATAATGAATCACATCAGCTGAGGGTCTGGCCTGTAGTATCTAGCTCCAGGCCCTTTGGGTGTCCACCAGAGTGAGCCTCCCAGGCCTGTTAGACAACAGACGATTTCAACCAGAGTAGAAATAAAAGGAATTCTTTGGCCAGCCTGCTTCCCCAGACCCCTCGGGAGCAGAGACTCCGTCCGGCAGGTGACCAGTCCCAGGGGAACGAACTTCACAGACGCCTGTGACGATGAAATGGCCAAGTGCCCGCTGCTGTCACAGAGCAAGGCCATGGCATTCATGCAATGAGTTGGGCGGGTCTAGCCCATTTCCTAGTGGGCTGATGCCGATATGGCAAAAGCCTCCATTCTGGTTGCTTTGTTGGTTTGTCTTAGCAAAGGGGACGAGGACTCGCTGGGCCATGCAGATGTGACACCCACGAGGTGGTTTCTCCAGGCCAGAGGCAAGGAGCACACGTGCTTATCCAATAGGCTATGTGGGAGAGACCCCAGAGAAAACGCTCTCTGCTCCGGACTTGGCTGGGGCTCGGTGGTGGAGTGCTGACCCTGCAGAACGTTTCTAAAGCTACTTTAGCCAAACATACGACCCAGCTCTGGGGCTAGACAGTCTGTTCATGACACTCGTCTGTAGCGCACCTGGTCCCCTGGCGTCCTGGTCTCCAGTCAGTGCCCCAGTACTAAAACAGCACCGCTTCCATGGGCAGGTGGCTCTGTAGCCTCACCGCTCTGCCTGAGCGCGGGGTCTGCGGGCTGGGACCCCAGGTTGCAAGCTCTGTGGCCTGGACTCCGCGGCTTGGAAAGGTGGGCGCAAGATGCGCCAGTATGAGTTGACGTATCTGATGTCACGTTTCCGCACCGTCCACAGCGTTTGCTTCCCTCGCTCTTCGTGAGGAGCAGTACCCACGCCGGCAGGGCCACCCTCTGAGTTTGACCAGGTGGGTCTACACTGGACCTGCTAAATGGAACCCTGGAAGACCGACGGCAGCAGCTTCGATCTTCCATGCAGTGTAGACGTGCCCTGTGAGACTGGAACTCTGTCTCGTTAGTCTGCCAAAGTGCTAACCCCTCCCTTGCTCTCGACAGGGACTTACTGCTCCCAAAGCGAGTTCCTGGCTGGCAAAGCTCCCCGAAGTTCTCTCTGCCCCCAGCTCTAATGCAATAGCTGCACACGATCCTGCAGCACACGCACACGGCCGCCACGCCACTCGGCCCTTGTGCAAGGTGAGAAGAACCATTCAACGGTGCGATTGCAGCATCTCCTCTCCCACTCAGGGTACATCTAGACGACAGGCTTTTGTCGACAGAAGTTTTGTCGACAGATACTGTTGACAAAGCTTCTGTCGATAAAGAGCGTCTACACTACATTCAGTTCTGTCGACAAAGCAAGCTGCTTTGTCGACATGCAGTGTAGACGCAAAGGACAGTTTAGATAGAATAATGCTTTCTGGCGACAGAAGGCGTTATTCCTCGTAAAATGAGGTTTACCAGCTTCGACAAAACTGCTGAGTTCTGTCGACGTTATGTCGACAGAACTCAGCAGTAGTGTAGACGCAGGTTTAGTTTTGTCGACAAAAGCCCACTTTTGTCGACAAACCCCTGTAGTCTAGACACACCCTCAGACGTCCGCTCCCGAGAACTGGCCGCTCACTGCACCTCTAGAAGTGTCGGGGGCCGGAGGCAGGGATAAGGGACACGGGTTGGTGGGTAATAGGCAGGGAAGTACTCAAATGTCACCAAGTGGGTGCAAAGTGTTGGGACTGACCAGACTTGCCCCAGCCACCCCTGCCAGCGAGTCAGTGCCGACAGACCACTGGGTCCGGTAGGGTTTCCAGATGGTTTCTAACTCCTGTTCATGCGGCTGCTTTGTCACTGTGAAAGGGGCCTGGGTCAGTTTCGAAAATTCTCAAGTCCAGCTGCAAAAGCAGCTCCCTGGCAGTGCCGGGGGTTTCCCTGGCCCAGAGCGGCACCGCCAGGCCCGGGTGCCAGCGTGCAGCTCTCCTGAACAGTTACAGCCAAGGGCGTGTGATTCCGCAGCTCACCCGGCTGCATTCTCCCGCTGGCAGGCATGTAGCTGCCCAGACGAGCTGTTCAAGCCAACAAGCGGGCGTTCGAACCAGAGAGGCTGGGTTTGGCCTGGCTTTCGTGCCATCTGGGCCAGTGATACTGCCCCGCTCCGCCACTCCCTGCCCCGAGCATGGGAAGGCTGACTCCCAGCATGCCCTTAGGAAAAAATTCCTAACTGTCAGGGTGGTCAAATATTGGAATAAATTGCCAAGGGAGGTGGTGGAATCTCCCTCTCTGGAGATATTTAAGAACAGGTTAGATAGACATCTGTCAGGGATGGTGTAGACGGAGCTTGGTCCTGCCTTGAGGGCGGGGGGCTGGACACGATGACCTCTCGAGGTCCCTTCCAGTCCTATTATTCTATGATTCTATGAAGTCACTTCACCTCGGTGCCTCAGTTTACCTCTTCGGAATGGGAATTATGACAATGCCCATGTTTCTCACTGGGCCATCTGGCGGCTCAATCAAGGTTTGTCACCCACGTGGAGACCTTCAGGTGAAAGGTGCTACAGAAATGTGCATCACTGGTATGCACCAGCCTCCTAGGGTAGCATCCCGAGCGCTGCACGGGCACCATGGGAATGAGAAATGATAATACTTAAGGATCTTAACATTGCATTGCCCCCAAATGCTTACACTGGGGGCTCTGCGGGCACTTCTGTCGCCACCAAGACAGGCGAACAACTGGGAATTCAAAGTCCAGAGGCACGTCCCGCCCCACAAAGCCCTTCCCGTCTAGGCAGGGAAGCGCCGGCACGAGGCGTCTTTACTTTCCGCCAGTTTCTCGTTTTCAGAAGTAAATTACTGACACGCCCCCAAGGAGCTTGTGAAAAGGCCGCTCTGTCCCCAGGGAGCCCCTGACTTGGCCTTTATGAATGAACTGCTAGAGAAAGTGATCAATAAATGTGTCAGTCAGGTCAAGTAAACAGAAGCATTTTACTCTCCCACCCTTACTCACACGTGCGCCCTGCTGCTAGAGGCTTTTAGCGGGAGGAGCCCGTCCCTCGGGAGTTGGAATCAGGCTGCAGAGCCACTGAAGAAGGGGAAAAAACAAATTGTTACTGTTCACACGCTGCAAACTTTCCCTGGCTACTTCTGTGCCCAGCACCGGGCCCCTCCGGGCACTGATGTGGTTCTAATACAAATCATCAGCAGACGCTCCCTCTGCCACTCGGGCTCTGCTCCTTCCTGTTAGAGCTCAGGGCGGCCTCTGCTTCTGGGATTTCGGCTGCGCCCCCTGGCAGACAAGCGCAGCCCGATGCCAATCCGCGAGCTGCCTCCCGCCTCGGCCCGGCGTGGGCCTGGCCAGCCTGACTGTGCTTGCAAGAGGTACGCCTCGTCTTGA